TTTGAGCAGACTGATGCTTTTCTCTAAATAAAAACAATGACAGCAGCCTTAATGTTCCATCATTCCCCCAAACTTTGTACGCAGGCCTCCGAATCTCCTCTGAGACTTCTCTACAGTGCATAGAGACATGTAATGGCCTCTCCAACCCTCCCCCACAGGCACAGATCAGCTGCAATTTCAAGCTCCGTTGGTTTCTGCCTGCGTCTACTGTATGCTGCCACACTGGCAGGACACATCTTAGGAGAAGGGAAAATAAGCCGAGCCTAGTAATGTGAATGAAATCAAGGCCCTGAAATCACACGCACGCACATTTAGGAGAACACTTCCTTTTTTTCACCTGCTGACACCAATGCACTTTAACAATCTCTCTGCTGGGTGGTTTTTGTTGTTTTTTTTTTTTTATTTTTTACTCAGTCCTTCGTAAAATGGTTACTTAAATATTTTTGTTCCCCTGAAGCGAGATCTTGAAGAAATGTAGACCATTTTCATGAAATTAACCTGTTGACGCTGGCCGTGCGCATATATGCGGGTGGGCCTTAATGCCAAGAGGCCGTATATATATGCGTGCCTAAAGAAAAACAGAACTGTGCTGAGCATGCATGCTGTGCAAATTCCCAGCGCCGAATGTAAAGCTCCCGATCTCTACTTCCAATCGGGAGCTTTCCGATCATGTGACTGCTGTGACAGCCAGTCATGGCGGTCACATGATCAGAAACCTCACCCTGCATCCTGGCATCTTAAACCCCTTAAAAGGGTCAGGAGGCACCGGTTCTAAGGGGTTAAAGAGGTTCCAAGGGGTCAAAGAAGTTGTACCTGCCTCAGTCTATGGCACTTAGTGCTGATCCTGTCTGCTCTCTGCATGAGACACTTCGAACAGTCTTGGTCAGGGTTCCTCAACCAAGGTTCCATGGAACTCTAGGGTTCTTCCAGAGGTTGCTAAGGGTTTCTTGGGGAGATGCTGGTTCTAAGGGGTTAAAGAGGTTCCTAGGGGTTAAAGAAGTTGTACGTGCCTCAGTCTATGGCACTTAGTGCCGATCCTGTCTGCTCTCTGCATGAGACACTTCAAACAGTCTAGGTCAGGGTTCCTCAACCAGGGTTCCATGGAACTCTAGGGTTCTTCCAGAGGTTGCTAGGGGTTATTTGAGGAGATGCCAGTTCTAAGGGGTTAAAGAGGTTCCAAGGGGTTAAAGAAGTTGTACCTGCCTCAGTCTATGGCACTTAGTGCCGATCCTGTCTGCTCTCTGCATGAGTCATTTTGAACAGTCTAGGTCAGGGTTTCTCAACCAGGGTTCCATGGAACTCTAGGGTTATTCCAGAGGTTGCTAAGGGTTCCTTGAGGAGATGCTGGTTCTAAGGGGTTAAAGAGGTTCCAAGGGGTTAAAGAAGTTGTATTTGCCTCAGTCTATGGCACTAAGCACTTTCTGCTTCTGATATAAGTTCCCGCTGACACCATTGATCTTTATAGCCATTTGTAAGGGGGGAATTCTTCCCCACAATGACCACAAGCGTAAGGAGCATTCTTCCCACTGACCATCAGACTTACGTATAATGAGTTGTAGATATAGTCATTTTTAGCAGGGGTTCCCTCAGACTGAAAAGTTATTTCAAGGGTTCCTCTGTGTTGCAAAGGTTGAGAAAGGCAGGTCGATACCAGGCAATCCCCAAACCCCCCTCTAGCCCACAGTATGTAGGCAGGTGCAGTTAGCCTTTTTGTCTGTAGGTAACCTAGTGCCACGCTTGCATGGGTGGGGGAGAGCCTCATAAGGGAACTGATCCCTTAGTGATTCAGTCCAGTTCCTCGAGGGGGAAAGTGTCATGATGGTACACAGAACTCTAGAGAGACTTTGATGGCCATCTTGGGTGAGGGAACCTTTTAAATAAGGGGACCCACGTCTTGTCATTTTGCTGTGCTTCTGGCGAGTGAGTGGGACACACTTGTGTAGGACAGGTTCCAGACGGGGAGGGATAGCTCAGGGAAGGCTCTTCATACACTCCGGGAATAGGTGCGGAGGTGAAGCTGGCATAGGCAGCAGGAACGTCCTTTGTTTTTTCCAATAGGGGACAATACCCCTGGTAACAGAAGCCATCCTCTGGTAACTCATTCTGTCCAATACGAAGACTTTATATTCTCCAGACTGCTGTATATTAATGCTCAAGATCTGCTTATTTGTTGCTTTAAACATACTGCTCAAGGTTTAGGTTCCTAGACCAGTGGTCTCCAAAATGTGGCCCGGGGCCGGACGCAGCCCTTTGCTAGCCTTCATCTGGCCCTTGGGGTGCTATTCCTCCCACTGATATGAGGCACCAGGGCATTTTTTTTTCAGGGAATAGGTGCAGGTACCCCCTACCCCCCACCACCACCTCCTTCTGATTCACTCCTCGACTCCACCGCCTACCCACCTCTGAGCTTTGTTCCTTGGTCCAACCCCTACCCAACTACCAATAGCACCCCTTTTAGAGAATTCAGACCAGGTATCACTTCTGCTGCTATTTGTGATTTGTAAGAATTGTTAACAAAAAAAGCAGTAAAATAGATCCTCTTCTGGCAGCAACAATAGATCCTCCAAACAATAGACTCCCCCCAGCAGCAATTGACAAACCTAGCAACAATAGACCTCCAGGAAACAATAGGCCCTCCCAGCAACAATAGATCACCCTGGCAACAATAGACCCCCTGCAACAAAATACCACCCCAGCAACAATAGACCTCCAGGAAACAATAGGCCCTCCCAGCAACAATAGACCCCCCTGGCAAGAATAGACCCTCAGCAATATAATACTACCCCAGCAACAATAGATCTTCTAGCAGCCAGCAACAATAGGTCACCCCCTCAACAGTAGATCCCCCCCAGCAACAATTGACCCCACCCCCAGCAACATAACATTCCCCAGCAACAGTAGATCCCCCAGCAAATAGCATCATTAGACCCTCCAGCACACCTTGCTATTACATACCTCCAATACTAAAAATGGGTACTATTCCTCCCATTGACACCAAAGATGGGGTACTATTCCACCGACTGACACTAAAGATAGGGCACTATTCCTCCCACTGACACCGATGATGGAAAACTATTCATCCCACTGACACCGATGACGGAGAACTATTCATCCCACTGACACCAATGAGGGGCACTATTCCTCCCACTGACACCAATGATGGGGCACTATTCCTCCCACTGACACCAATGATGGGGCACTATTCCTCCCACTGACACCAATGATGGGGCACTATTCCTCCCAATGACACCAATGATGGGGCACTATTCCTCCCACTGATACCAATGATGGGGCACTATTCCTCCCACTGACACCAATGATGGGGCACTATTCCTCCAGTGATACCAATGATGGGGCACTATTCCTCCAGTGATACCAATGATGGGGCACTATTCCTCCAGTGATACCAATGATGTGGCACTATTCCTCCCACTGATACCAATGATGGGGCACTATTCCTCCCACTGATACCAATGATGGGGCACTATTCCTCCCACTGACACCAATGATGGGGCACTATTCCTCCCACTGACACCAATGATGGGGCACTATTCCTCCCACTGATACCAATGATGGGGCACTATTCCCCCCAATGACACCAATGATGAGGCATTATTCCTTCCACTGACACCAATGATGGGACACTATTCCTCCCAATGATGGGGCACTATTCCTCCCAATGACACCAATGATTGGGCACTGTTCTTCCCAATGATACCAATGATGGGGCACTATTCCTCCAGTGATACCAATGATGGGGCACTATTCCTCCCACTGACACCAATGATGGGGCACTATTCCTCCCACTGACACCAATGATGGGGCACTATTCCTCCCACTGACACCAATGATGGGGCACTATTCCTCCCACTGACACCAATGATGGGGCACTATTCCTCCCACTGACACCAATGATGGGGCACTATTCCTCCCACTGACACCAATGATGGGGCACTATTCCTCCCACTGACACCAATGATGGGGCACTATTCCTCCCACTGACACCAATGATGGGGGCACTATTCCTCCCACTGACACCAATGATGGGGCACTGTTCTTCCCAATGATACCAATGATGGGGCACTATTCCTCCCACTGATACCAATGATGGGGCACTATTCCTCCCACTGATACCAATGATGGGGCACTATTCCTCCCACTGATACCAATGATGGGGCACTATTCCTCCCACTGATACCAATGATGGGGCACTATTCCTCCCACTGATACCAATGATGGGGCACTATTCCTCCCACTGACACCAATGATGGGGCACTATTCCTCCCACTGACACCAATGATGGGGCACTATTCCTCCCACTGACACCAATGATGGGGCACTTCCTCCCACTGACACCAATGATGGGGCACTATTCCTCCCAATGATACCAATGATGGGGCACTATTCCTCCCAATGATACCAATGATGGGACACTATTCCTCCCAATGATACCAATGATGGGACACTATTCCTCCCAATGATACCAATGATGGGACACTATTCCTCCCACTGACACCAATGATGAGGCATTATTCCTCCCACTGATACCAATGATGGGGCACTATTCCTCCCACTGATACCAATGATGGGGCACTATTCCTCCCACTGACACCAATGATGGGGCACTATTCCTCCCACTGACACCAATGATGGGACACTATTCCTCCCACTGACACCAATGATGAGGCATTATTCCTCCCACTGATACCAATGATGGGGCACTATTCCTCCCACTGACACCAATGATGGGGCACTATTCCTCCCACTGATACCAATGATGGGGCACTATTCCTCCCACTGATACCAATGATGGGGCACTATTCCCCCCAATGACACCAATGATGAGGCATTATTCCTTCCACTGACACCAATGATGGGACACTATTCCTCCCAATGATGGGGCACTATTCCTCCCACTGACACCAATGATAGGGCACTATTCCTCCCAATGACACCAATGATTGGGCACTATTCCTCCCAATGACACCAATGATGGGGCACTATTCCTCCAGTGATACCAATGATGGGGCACTATTCCTCCCACTGATACCAATGATGGGGCACTATTCCTCCCACTGACACCAATGATGGGGCACTATTCCTCCCACTGACACCAATGATGGGGCACTATTCCTCCCACTGACACCAATGATGGGGCACTATTCCTCCCACTGACACCAATGATGGGGCACTATTCCTCCCACTGACACTAATGATGGGGCACTGTTCCTCCCATGACACCAATGATTGGGCACTGTTCTTCCCAATGATACCAATGATGGGGCACTATTCCTCCCACTGATACCAATGATGGGGCACTATTCCTCCCACTGACACCAATGATGGGGCACTATTCCTCCCACTGACACCAATGATGGGGCACTATTCCTCCCACTGATACCAATGATGGGGCACTATTCCTTCCACTGATACCAATGACGGGGCACTATTCCTCCCACTGATACCAATGATGGGGCACTATTCCCCCCACTGACACCAATGATGGGGCACTATTCCTCCCACTGACACCAATGATGGGGCACTATTCCTCCCACTGACACCAATGATGGGGCACTATTCCTCCCACTGACACCAATGATGGGGCACTATTCCTCCCAATGATACCAATGATGGGACACTATTCCTCCCAATGATACCAATGATGGGACACTATTCCTCCCACTGACACCAATGATGAGGCATTATTCCTCCCACTGATACCAATGATGGGGCACTATTCCTCCCACTGATACCAATGATGGGGCACTATTCCCCCCAATGACACCAATGATGAGGCATTATTCCTTCCACTGACACCAATGATGGGACACTATTCCTCCCAATGATGGGGCACTATTCCTCCCACTGACACCAATGATAGGGCACTATTCCTCCCACTGACAACAATGATGGGGTACTATTCCTCCCAATGACACCAATGATTGGGCACTGTTCTTCCCAATGATACCAATGATGGGGCACTATTCCTCCCACTGATACCAATGATGGGGCACTATTCCTCCAGTGATACCAATGATGGGGCACTATTCCTCCCACTGATACCAATGATGGGGCACTATTCCTCCCACTGACACCAATGATGGGGCACTATTCCTCCCACTGACACCAATGATGGGGCACTATTCCTCCCACTGACACCAATGATGGGGCACTATTCCTCCCACTGACACCAATGATGGGGCACTGTTCCTCCCACTGACACCAATGATGGGGCACTGTTCCTCCCACTGACACCAATGATGGGGCACTATTCCTCCCACTGACACAATGATGGGGCACTGTTCCTCCCAATGACACCAATGATTGGGCACTATTCCTCCCACTGATACCAATGATGGGGCACTATTCCTCCCACTGATACCAATGATGGGGCACTATTCCTCCCACTGACACCAATGATGGGGCACTATTCCTTCCACTGATACCAATGATGGGGCACTATTCCTTCCACTGACACCAATGATGGGGCACTATTCCTCCCACTGACACCAATGATGGGGCACTATTCCTTCCACTGATACCAATGATGGGGCACTATTCCTCCCACTGACACCAATGATGGGGCACTATTCCTCCCACTGACACCAATGATGGGGCACTATTCCTTCCACTGATACCAATGATGGGGCACTATTCCTCCCAATGATACCAATGATGGGGCACTATTCCTCCCAATGATACCAATGATGGGGCACTATTCCTCCCAATGATACCAATGATGCACTGTTCCTCCCCAAGGGCAAACGTGTGGGGATTTTTACTCCCACTGATGCCAGGAACATTTGCCACAGTCCGATCCCCATAAAGTTTGAAATACATGAAAACTGGCCCTATATTTAGAGTCTGGCGACCCCTTTTCATTGGGTTTGATTTGCTAAAGGTAAATAGGCTGTTCACTTTGCAAGGGAATTTTCCTTTGAATGAGTTGAAGCTCCACAGACTTCCATCATCCAATCACGTCGAAGCAAAATTATATTTTTGGTTATTCATTGAAAGGTGAATTTTAAACTAAGGGAAGATTCCCTTGCAAATAGAAATTTCCCTTGCAGAGTGGCGCATGTTTCCCTTTAGTAAGGCTAGGTTCACACCTCTTGCCTTTTTGATGCGTTGTTTTTTTTTTTATTTTCTTGGTGCTAGGCAGATTAAAACACAACAAAAACGCACGACATGCTTTTCTGCATTTCCACTGAGGTCTATAGAACCCCAAACGCAACGTTTTGCAATTTAAAAAGTCCCTAACCCTTTCCAAAAACCGCACCGGGCGAAAACACGCAGATGTGAACGTGTCCCATAGGAACTCATGTTAAATGGACTGCAAAACGCTGCGGAAAACGCATAGGTGTGACCCTGGGGTAAATCCACCCCAAGGGCTCAAACAGACTATATATCCTGGAATTTGCCTCTGCTGCCCCTACAGCCACCTTCGCTCTTGCTGCGTTGTTCAAGCAAAGTGGTGGTTGTTAGGCAAACGAGCCCCTGCAACTGCTTTTTTTTTTTTTTTTTTTTTTTTTTAATAAAGGAGGTACTGATTTCTATTTACAGTTTTTGCCAATCACATGCAAACAAAGGATGTAGAAAAGCTTACGGGGTCTCTCACGGATGGTTGCTAGGGTCAGTTGCTAGGTACTTATTTCTGCATCCTTACTCTGCCACAACCTGAATGGTTGTTCTATAATCAAAATGAAAAGCATCTGAGAGAACAAAACAAACAAAACAAAAAAAAAAAAAAAAAAAACAACAGATTGCTAGGTTTGAACACAGAAACCATTTTTCTGGGAATGATTTGTGATAAAACTTGTGCAAAGAAAGAGACGGGCAAATGGGAAGCTACTCAAAGGGACCAAAAAGATACAATGCTATATTTAGCCACTAAAAGATGAAGTTTGACTGATAGTAATGGGGATCCGACTCTCAAAGGATCTGTAAGGCATTAGTCTCAATTCTCAAAGCTAACACACCGGGATAAAGAGATAAATACAGTATATATATATATATATATACAGTGGGGATCGAAAGTTTGGGCACCCCAGCTAAAAATGTGTATTAATGTGCATAAAGAAGCCAAGGAAAGATGGAAAAATCTCCAAAAGGCATCAAATTACAGATTAGACATTCTTATAATATGTCAACAAAAGTTAGATTTTATCTCCATCATTTACACTTTCAAAATAACAGAAAACAAAAAAATGGCGTCTGCAAAAGTTTGGGCCCCCTGCAGAATTTATAGCATGCACTGCCCCCTTTGCCAAGCTGAGACCTGCCAGTGTCATGGATTGTTCTCAATCATCGTCTGGGAAGACCAGGTGATGTCAATCTCAAAGGTTTTAAATGCCCAGACTCATCTGACCTTGCCCCAACAATCAGCACCATGGGTTCTTCTAAGCAGTTGTCTAGAAAACTGAAACTGAAAATAGTTTGACACTCACAAAGCTGGAGAAGGCTATAAGAAGATAGCAAAGCGTTTTCAGATGTCAATATCCTCTGTTCAGAATGTAATTAAGAAATGGCAGTCATCAGGAACAGTGGAAGTTAAAGCAAGATCTGGAAGACCAAGAAAAATATCAGACAGAACAGCTCGCAGGATTGTGAGAAAAAACAATTCAAAACCCACGTTCGACTGCACGATCCCTCCAGAAAGATCTGGCAGACACTGGAGTTGTGGTACACTATTCCACTATAAAGAGATACTTGTACAAATATGGTCTTCATGGAAGAGTCATCAGAAGAAAACCTCTTCTACGTCCTCACCACCACAAAAATCATCGTTTGAACTTTGCAAATGAACATATAGACAAGCCTGATGCATTTTGGAAACAAGTTCTGTGGACCGATGAGGTTAAAATTGAACTTTTTGGCCGGAATGAGCAAAGGTACGTTTGGAGAAGAAGGGGCACAGAATTGAATGAAAAGAACCTCTGTCCAACTGTTAAGCATGGGGTTGGATCAATCATACTTTGGGGTTGTGTTGCAGCCAGTGGCACAGGGAACATCTCACGAGTAGAAGGAAAAATGGATTCAATAAAATTTCAGCAAATTTTGGATGGTAACTTGATGCCATCTGTGAAAAAGCTGAAGTTAAAGAGAGGATGGCTTCTACAAATGGATAATGATTCTAAACACACCTCAAAATCCATGGGGGATTACATCAAGAGGCGTAAACTGAAGGTTTTGCCATGGCCTTCACAATCTCCTGACCTCAACATAATTGAAAATCTATGGATAAGACCTTAAAAGAGCCGTGCGTGACAGACAGCCCAGAAATCTCAAAGAACTGGAAGACTTTTGTAAGGAAGAATGGGCAAAGATACCTCAAACAAGAATTGAAAGACTCTTGGCTAGCTACAAAAAGCGTTTACAAGCTGTGATACTTGCCAAAGGGGGGGCAGTACAAGATATTAACTCTGCAGGGGGCCCAAACTTTTGCAGACGCCATTTTTTTGTTTTCTGTTATTTTGAAAGTGTAAATGATGGAAATAAAATCGAACTTTTGCTGACATATTATAAGAATGTCTAATCTGTAATTTGATGCCTTTTGGAGATTTTTCCATCTTTCCTCGGCTTCTTTATGCACATTAATACAAATTTTTAGCTGGGGTGCCCAAACTTTCCATCCCCACTGTATATATATAATTTTAAGTGACAGTTATTTTCATCTCCATTCGGCTTTGAAAATAGCAGTCACATGTCAACAATGAAGATGCTTATCCTCGTGTGAAAGCTTAGGGAATTGAGCCTGGTCTCTGCGACTATAGGTTATGCAGTAAATGGTGACATGAAAAAAAACAATGGATTTTCTACCAATGGACTGTGATGTGTTGAGGCAACCTGAGCATCTGTCCAACTAGTATGGTAGATGAAAGTACACTATATTGCCAAAAGTATTGGCCCCGCCCTCCAAATCCTTGGATTGAGGTGTTCCAATCTCCTCCATGGAGCTTCATGGAATGGGTTTCCATGGCCGGGCAGCTGCATCCAAGCCTTACATCACCAAGTGCAATGCAAAGCGTCGGATGCCGTGGTGTAAAGCACGCCACCACTGGACTCTAGAGCAGCGGAGATGTGTTCTCTGGAGTGACCAATTACGCTTCTCTGTCTGGCAATCTGATGGACGTGTCTGGGTTTGGCGCTTGCCAGGAGAACGGTACTTGCCTGACTGCATTGTGCCAAGTGCAAAGTTTGGTGGGGGGGGGGATTCTGGTGTGGGGTTGTGTTTCAGGGGTTGGGCTTGGCCTCCTATTTCCAGTGAAGGGAACTCTTAAGGCGACATTTTGGACAATTTCATGCTCCCAACTTTGTGGGAACAGTTTGGGGATGGCCCCTTCCTGTTCCAACATGACTGCCCACCAGTGCACAAAGCAAGGTCCATAAAGACATGGAGGAGCCAGTTTGGGGTGGAGGAACTTGACTGTCCTGCACAGAGTCCTGACCTCAACCCCATAGAACACCTTTGGGATGAATTAGAGTGGAGACTGCGAGCCAGGCCTCCTCCCCCGACATCAGTGCCTGACCTGACAAATGTGCTTATGGAAGAATGGTCCAACCTTCCCATAGACACCCTCCTAAACCTTGTGGACGGCCTTCCCAGAAGAGGTGAAAGCTGTTATCGCTGCAAAGGGTGGGGCCAACTCAATATTGAACCCTACGGACTAAGACTGGGAGGCCATTAAAGGTCATGTGCGTGGAAAGGGCGGGGCCAACTCAATATTGAACCCTACGGACTAAGACTGGGAGGCCATTAAAGGTCATGTGCGTGGAAAGGGCGGGGCCAACTCAATATTGAACCCTACGGACTAAGACTGGGAGGCCATTAAAGGTCATGTGCGTGGAAAGGGCGGTGGGCACAATACTTTTGGCAGTATGGTGTACATGTAAACCCTAAACAATGAACTTTTCTTACTTGCCCCCTTTTTATCTGTGTGATCTTAGGGAATCATTAGCTGAGTGGTAGCAGCAATTTTAGTGAGATCCTGCCATCATTTATGGCTTGTAGGCCCACTTTAACCCTTTGGCACCGGTGCCTCCCAGCCCCTTAATGGGTTTGTGATGCTGGGAGGCGGGGTGGGGTTTAGCGTCATGTGACCACTGTGAATGGCTGTCATGGCGGTCACGATTGGAAATCTCCCAACCGCAAATAGTGATCAGGACCTTTCCGTGAGGCGTCGGTAAATGTGCCAGGAGCACACAGGGCGAAATGCCCTCGGCCCAAGTTTTGTTTAGATTGGGTACGCAAATATGAGGCCCCTCGGTGCCAAGGCCCAGCCTCCAAGAGGCTGCATATTTGCATACGCTCATTGCCAACAAGTTAATTAAACAGAAAAGTAAAAGTTCAAGAGAATATTTAC